GGTTCGAATCCCCAGCCCGGGCCCGCCAAACAACAATGATGGCTGCAACCAAAAAAAAAAAAATGGCCAGGCGTTGTGGCGGGCGCCTGTGGTCCCAGCTGCTTGGGAGGCTGAGACAAGAGACTCACTTGAGCCCAGGAGTTGGAGGCTGCTGTGAGTGTGATACTTTGGCACTCTACCCAGGGGGATAGCTTGAGGCTCCGTCTCAAAAAACAAAAAAAAAAAAACAAAAAAAAATTGTGAGATAAAAAGTGATAGAACCACAAGGAGGAATAAGTAAGTCCACTATTATAGTTGGAGACTTCAGCACCACTCTGCAGCAAGTGGTCAGATGTAGCAGGTGGGAAATCTGCAAGGACATAGCTGAACTTAAGAACAGGAATCGATCAGCTGGATAACTAGGGTGCCTCATTTTAATTCGCTTCACGTTATGTGCTTGGCAGGTATTGCTTTTTTTTTTTTTTTTTTTTTTTGGCAGATTGAACGTTTGTGGCAATCCTGCATTAAGCAAGTCTACCGACACCATTTTTCCTACATCATGCGCTCATTTCATGTCTCTGTGTCATATTTTGGTAATTCTTATAATATTTCAAACTTTGTCATAATTTCTATATCTGTTATGGTGATTTGTAATCGCTGATCTTTGGTGTAAATATTGTAATTGTTTTAGGGCTCCTTGAAACATGCCCATAGAATAAACAGCAAATTTAATCAATGACTATTGTGCGTGTTCTGACTGCTTCACCGAGCAATTGTTCCCCCATCTTTCTCCCTCCCTCAGACCTCCTTATTCCCTGAAACATGGCAATATTGGAATTAGGCTCATAAATAACTCTATAGTGGCCCTAAACGTTAAAATAAAAGGAAGAGTCCCAACTCACTTTAAATCAAAATTTAGAAATGATTATGCTAGTGTTGGGAAAATCTTGGGACAGGGTAGAAAAACTGCCCCCAAAAGCAAGAGGCAACAGAGAGACCAAAGAATGACTCAAACCAGTCTAGCTTGACGAGTTAGATGAGTTTATTAGAGGTTACCTAGGAGGGGGCTTGCTCCTGGGCAGCACGGAAATTTCTTCCACAGGAGCTTTCTTTTATGGAAAATCCTTGTCTGTTCCTGAGGTGGTATTGCTTTACATCTCTTCCCAATGAGTAACGTAAAGATTTTACAATGTGTCTTTACTTGCTCATAGTGAAACAAATTACACAAGCACAGTACCATCAGTGAGTGCCGTCCTACCATCCCTGTTAACTAATGATATTGCAATTTCCCACTGGGGAGAGATGTTAGGGTTAGCTAAACGGCATTGCAGGACAACCAAAACAGGGCTGTAACACTCAGGGCTGGTTTGAGATGGCTTGTTTCAAGGCAAGAATGTGCTGAGGCACCCAAGAAAGTGCTAGGCACATTTCCCAGGCTCGTCAGTTATCTTGGTACTTGCCTAGTCTGCTTTGCAACCATGTTGCTGCACACTCCAGATATCACAGTGTCTCTATTACGTGGTGGGCAACTTGGATTTTTCCCTCAACACTAAGCAAGGAAGTCATGTTGAAAGCTAAAACAGGCCGAAAGGTTGGCCTCTTGCACCAGTTAACCAAGTTCTGAATGCAAAGGGCAAGTTCTTTTAAAAATTTATTTTTTATTTTTAGAGACAGTGTCTCCCTTTGTCGTCCAGGTTGAGGTGTGATAGCCTGACTATAGGTCACTGTAACCTCAAAGTCCTGGGCTCAAGTGAACCTCCTCCCTCAGCCTCCTGGATAGCTGAGATTATAGGTATATGCCACCACGACTGGCTATTTTTTAAAATTTTTGTATAGACAGGGGTCTCACTACGTTGCCTAGGCTGGTCTTGAAGTCCTAGCCTCAAGCAATCCTCCTGCCTTGGCCTTACAGATGCAATCCCACCATGCCAAACCAAAGGACAAGTTCTTGAAGTTTCCTTAAATTAAAAGTGCTACTCCAGTGAACACACAAACGATAAGAGAACAAAACAGCCTTATCACAGACAGGGAGAAAATTGTGGTCTGAATAGGTCACACCAGCCACAACATTCCTTAAGCCAAAGGTTGATCCCCAGAAAGCCACCAACTCTGCAAATCTATGAACGCTGAGAGAGGTGAAAAAGATGTAGAAGAAAAGTTTGAAGGTAGGAGAGGTCGGTTCATGAGGCTTAAGGAAAGAAGCTGAGACAGGAAAGTAGACCCCAAA